TTCCCCACTGTTCCTTAAGGACACCCTATTTCAGCTATTCAGAGTAACGCAGGCACTGATGTGAACCACTAACAATCACGGTGAAGTAGAATAACCATCAATCTGCTTTAGATTGAAGGGGTGCGATTAGTTCCAGCGGTTCAAGTGAAGCATTGGAAACAGATGAAGACCTGTGGCATGTTGCAGGCAGGGGAGATAGATGAGGAAGAATGCCGACAGGTCAACGTGCTTGTGCCCTGTGGAAAGTTTAGTTATTTATGATGTTCTGAAAATAATGAACCTGGAATGTCTGCAGCTGTCTGTCATGAATTCCATAAGAAAACTGTATTTTATAATATGTATCATTCAAAAGTTTGGGGTCCGTAATACTTAAAAAAAATAATAATAATTAATACTTTTATTCAGCCTGGATGTATTACATTGTTTAAAAGTGACAGTAACAACATTTGTAATGTTGCAAAATTGTTAACTGTAATTCAAGTAAATACTTTTTTTTAAATAGACACTTGAAAGAGAATTCTTTCAAAAACATAATAAATCTTACAGATTATATACATATTAAATTCTTCATTTATTTGATTTCTATATTTATAACAGAATGCGCTGACGTGAGTTGCTCATTCTTCTTTTTGTCTCATTTCTGTCTACTCAAATGGTGCCGTAGATCTGGACACCTCTCTTCTAAAGAGGCACAGATCTTCTTGAAGGCCCTCCGACTGCCGCTGTCTGATGACCTACTACGAGCCCTCCTCGAAAAGTAAGGTCAACAGAGCACAACTTATTATCCAAGAAACATTTCACCACAACGCATCCTTAGTTTCTGCATCTCTCATGTTCACATCCAGGTTTCAAGACGAGTCTGAGAAGATTGACTATCATGCCTTCCTATCCAGTATTAACTGGAGAGAAAACCCGGCCCCTGCTGTGCCTCCAGATGTCACCGTGAAGGTGAGTTTGAAAGCGGTCTGGATGCAATGATGACAATCAAAAAAAATTGTCCATTTGTTCTGTCATCAAACACCTACTTTGAGACGTGATTCTTGTCACATGTACATGAGAGTGTTTGTGTCAGGGTCCAGGCCCTGGTAACCTGTGGGCCCCACAAGCTTTGAGCACCTCCAAGCCTCATCTCAAGTAAATCAGCCTTGGGAAAAACCCACTCAACAACTACTCTGAAGTGGAGATTTTATTACAGCGCAGTAATTTAGCATGCCTCCTTGGAGCCTAAGCAGAACCATCTGCTCACTGACTCGCAATGAGAAGCCTTCCAGTTCTGCTGGGTCTTAACTAGCCAGCAGGGGGAGACAGCGGTCGTTTTGTCTGTATGGTTTCTCACTGCTGTCTTTTCTATGTATTTAGGGATTGTAGGACCATA